ACATGGCTGTCAGGCCCCAGCCCAGATCTGTCAAATCCCAAATCCAAATTTCCAAGGACGATATTATGGTTTATGTCTAGATATCCCCAATGCTTCATACACTCATAGGTGGGGCTTTTGGGAGTTGACTGGATCATGGGTTAGTCCACTGACTGGTTTATAGCTGGGTTTGATGATGGAAGATGAAGCCTGACAGGAGGAAGTGGGTCACTGTAGGTGTGCCCCAGAGCTATACATCCCTCCTGCTTTGAGCATGCCCTGCTTCCTGCCTGTCCTGCCATGGACTGTTTCCCCTCTGCAATGCCCCTCTGCCATGCTGCCCTGTCTTGGAGACAGCTGACTATGCACTGAAACCTCTATAAACCATGAGCTCTTAAACCCTCCCTCCTTTAACTTGTGGTGTCATGTATTTTGTCCCAGGAATAAGAAAGTAACTAAGACAGGTGGGACCCAGGTATCTGTATGGTAAAAAGCTCTCCCACTGACTTTTACACATATCAAAGCTTAAGAATTACTAGCCTGGGGCCGGGAATTTAGCTCAGTGGTTTGGCGGCCTGCCCTGCAAGCGCAAGGACCCAAGTTTGATGCCCGGTACCAAAAAAAAAAAAGAATTACTATCCTGGGTGCTCCTGAGTGGAAAGATGCTGCCCTTTTTAGCTGAGAAAGTTGTATGGTAGAAGCACCTTAACTTCCAGTTTCTAGAAGTTCTTGGTCCTCTCACAGAAAGCGCAGTCTGGCAGGTGCCAGTGCCCAGGTGGCTGAGCCTGTCCTGCTCTTTCCATATCTCACTTTCATCTGTGAGCCCTTTTAGTTGGACAGTCCAGGAGTGCATCCAGCACAGTGCACTGTCAGGGCTGGACACAGGGGAGTGGACACAGAGGGCACTGGAACGTGCAGAGCAGCTGGTCACTCAGAGGAGGCACACAGTCCACATGTGGAAGAGCAGGTGGCTCCCAGAAAGGGGTGAGGAGTGGACAGAAAGTCTGACTCACTCTTTGTAGCCTACAATTTCCCTCACATAACTAGTTAGCAAGAGAGTGAAGTCAGAGTATTTATTTATTTATTTTGTTTGTTTGTTTGTTTGTTTTGAGTCTCCCTCTGGAGCCCAGGCTGGCCTGGAACTTGAGGCAAGCCTCCTGCCTCAGCCTCACAGGGCTGGGACTACAGGCGTGCACCACCACGCTCAGCTTTTCAGTTTTAATTAGGTTCTTTTAGGGCTGGTAATTATTCGAGCCTGGGCTTCCATTTTCCCTCTCTGGTTCCTTTCAGAGACATCTTCAGCAGGGCCCAGAGCTCCCTGCCCCCGGCTCCTCAGTGGAGCTGGAGAGAGTGGCAGAACTTGGGGCCACTGAGCTCCAGGCCCCAGTCTTTTGCACTTACTCAAGGCAGGGGCTGCTGGCTGGCCCAGGAGAGCAGGCCTGAAGTGAGTGGAAGGTCAAGCATAGCGTGATTGGTGAAAAACTCCTTTTGCCAAAGCCCCAGGGAATCGACAACACACTGTTGGAAAAGTCTAGGAAGACCAATAGAGATCTGACAGGAAATGACTGAAGTGTTTTTGGGAGGGTGTTTATTTTTCTTTTTAAAAATTTTCCATGCTGGGGACCAAATCCAGGGACTCACGTCTGCTAGGAAAGTACTCTGCCACTGAGTTACACCCCAGCCTGAGGTCAACATTATGATTTTTTTTTTTACTATTATCTTTTTTTTTTTAACCTTTTGGCCTAGAACTCACCATGTAGCCCAGGCTGGCCTCAAATTTACTATGATCCTCCTGCCTCAGCCTCCCCAGTGCTGGGATTACAGGTGTGTGCCAACATGCCCGGTGTTCTTGTCACTTTCTGAAGCAGTTCTGGAAGTCCTCTATTGTGGGTTTACAAGGCGTGATCAGATGTATGATGACTGGCTGTGAGGGCCACGCAACAGGAAGGCAGGGATAAGCTGTATGAGACGCATTCGGAGGGCTAGCAATGTGGGAGGTGGAAATAGTTTACCAGCAGGCAAGGAATATAGGAAAAAGAGTTTGTTCGGACCAGAATACATTGAAGAACAGACCAAAGGCAAGTTTCCAAGAGAGGAATCATGCAGTCAGAGTGAGAGTGGGGTTTTTATAAGGGACAGAAGATGGGGAAAGGGTCTTGGCACATCCAGATATCTCAGGTGTGTTCTTTCCGGAACCCCTAGTTTTTGTTGGCCATTTAGGAACATCTTTGCTGTTTCTAAAGTTGTACACTCAAGCTGCAAACCATCAAGGTCTTTTGGTTAGGCCTCATAAGAGGCTCTTTATACTTAGATAAGGATGTCTCTATGCTTTAACTTCGGGGTTTTTTGGGGGTTCTTTTGGTACCGGGGATCGAACTCAGGACCTTGCACTCGAGAGGCAGGTGCCAGAACCACTGAGCTAAATCCCTGGCCCACTATGCTTTAACTTTGGGACAAAGATGAGGCATTAGCTCTTGGAAGCAAAGAATAGTTTTTGTATCCATTTTTATTTTGTGCTGTTTCCTTTTTTTTTTTCTTGTTTGAGATAGGATCTTGCTATGTAGTTCAGGCTGGCCTTGAACTCACTATGTAATCCAGGCTGGCCCCAAATTTACGGTGACCCTCCTTCCTCAGTCTCCCAAGTGCTGGATTATAGGCATATGCCACCACACCTGACTCACCTACTCCTGGTTCCTTAAACATACTGTTACCACAGGACATTTGCTCATGCTCTTCTTCCTGTTTATAGGCCCACCACTCATCTTTCAACTGTCAGTTCCGTATCGCCTCCATAGGGAGCCTTACTCAGTCCCTCTGGTGTGTCAGTTTCCTTTGTCTTGTGCCAGTGATTCTAAATTACCTGGAGGGTTTTTAAAACACAGATTTCTGAGCCCCACCCCTGATCTTCTGACTCAGAAGTTTTGTGGAGTCTAAGACCATATTTCACTGTTTCAGATGCTGCTGATGCTGCGGGTGGGGGGGTCACACTTTGAGAACCACTGGCCTGTGCTCTCACCTCATCTCTTCCTGTCTGCAGTTCCACACACCTCTCTGTGGCTCTCTGATTATATCTGCCTCACCTTTGTATTTTTTTCCTGGTACCAGGAATCAAATGCAGGACCTTGTGCTTGGCTGGCAAGTGGGGCACCACTGAGCTACATCCCTGGATCTTCTGTCTCTCCTTTAATCTATGAGCTCTATGGAGCAGAGATCTTGCTTGGATTTCCTTATCGACAAAGCTCTAGCTGATAAAATGTTGGAAACAGTTTATATGTCCATCAGCAGGTGAATGGATAAAGGAAATGTGGTAGATATTCACAATGGAGTACTACTCAGCTATAAAGAAGGATGTTTTGAGTCATTTGTAGGAAAATGGATGCACCTTGAGAACACAGTGCTAGGTGAAATATTGATTTATTTATTTTGGTGTTTTTGAGGCAGGGTCTCACTATGCAGTTTCAGGTGACCTTGAACTCACTATGTAGCCATGGCTGTCCTCAAATTCATGGCAATTCTCTGCCTTAGTCACCCAAATAATGGGATGACAGGCGTGTGCCACCATGCTAGGTGAAATAAATCAGACACTGAAGATTAAGTGTTGCATGGTTTATCTTATATGAGAAACCCAAAGTATGACTAAAGAGCAAAAGAAAAGGTAGACCTTTTGCAAATGGGAAGGGGAATTGAGGGATGGAGGGAGAGGGGAGACAGGGGAAGGGAAAGGGAAATAGAAAGGATCAAGATGAGATATTGCCGCAGACCAGCTGCAGTCGATGCAGGGTAGGAAGGGGAGAGGTCCCGGGCCGGAGAGTGAGAAAAGAACCTTCACAAGCAATGTGCAGGTTCCCTCTGAGAAGTCTCAGGGTTTGATTTATTTTTATATCTTTAAGCAATAGCTAAGAGGCATTGGGCGGAATATGTTTACAATTTAGGTTGCCTTAGCAACATCTAGTGAGGTAAAGGTTATTTTTACTAAACAATATATTTTTCTAAGCTGATTCATTTCATTGAACATCATAAATACATTTCTTAAAAATCACAATTGTCCCCTTATTTTCCCATACCTAGGTAGAACAAAATGTAACTTAATCAAAATCTCCAGAGGGTAACTTAATTAGAATCTCTATAGCAGCAGGGGTACAAGCAAGATTTAATTAATTAAATGTCAAACTTGTGGTCACCAGCTAGCCCTTGAGAAACTGCACAACAGTTAATATAGTTTGCTATTAGCTCTCTACTTTCCTATACCTCTATTTGTCTTACCTAAGTGTCATTTGGGTTCATAGTTCATGAGCAGGAGATATTTTCAGCACTGTGAGAAATATTGAATAACTTGCCTCCTTAATGCATTTATCTGTCCCAACTTTCTCTCTATTTCTTATTTCCCACTATTACTTACATCTAAAGTCTATCCTATCAACCTCTTTATAAGACCCCTTTAGTAATAAGAAGGTCAGCAATAAGAGGGGGGAGTTACAGTAGTGGGAAAACAGAGGGAGTTTCAGGAGAGGTTTCTTTAGAAGTGGATGTGGCAATAGAACTAAGAGAAACTGGAATTTTGGGACTTTTGAGCCAGATCAGATTTCAATACATCATTGCCAATTTGCCTTATGGAGAGTTTGTTGTTAGTCACAAACACAATGATTCCTGTGACCAGAGTAACAATTTTAAACATTACGGCATGAAAAAAATAAAACATGAGGGTACGATGTGTTCCACCCTTCTTTTCCCCAAGCTGGAACTTTGTCAAGCAGCCTTGGAGGTCAGTTGGGCTTTGCCAAGATATGTACATGTACCAACTTCCCACAATGAATGTATTCTTTATGTATCACAAACATATACTAATGAAAAGAACTCTAGCTGGTATATATGGTGGCACACAATAAATTGCTTTTGAACAAATTACTGAATGGATGAATGACTGAATGAATGAAAACAGGTCTTCTAGTTCATTCATCTGGAAGTTCAGTGTACTAGGTTTTATGTAGAGCTATCTTACAATAAAGCAATTTGATTCCAGATCAATTATAACACAACTTTATCGACTGACTGATTGGTATGGGGATTGAACACAGGCGCTTGCACTGAGCTACATCTACAGTCCTCTTCTTATTTGATTTTGAGACAATGTCTCACTAAATTGCCCAGGCTGGCCTTGAATTCCTGCCTCAGCCTCCAGAGTAACTAGAATTACAGACATTCATCACTAGCCAGGCACACAGGTGTGGTGGCACACGCCTGTGATCTCAGGACTCAGAGGCTGAGGCAGGAAGATTACAAATTGCCCAGGCAATTTAGCCACTTAGTGAGGCCCTGGCTCAGAATTTTAAAAAATAAAAAGGGCTGAGGATGTAGCTCAGTGAAAAGGCCCTAGATTCAATCCCTAGTACACACACACACACACACACACACACACACCCATCCAAAAATATCCATTTTTGGCAATTTAAGTTTGAAATAAAGGACAAATGACATGAAAAAAAATCCAGACAGGCTGGGCATGGGCAGGCAAGAAGGCCCTTAAGAGACCATGGTGCACCTGAGCCCTTGGAGGGCAGGTCATGGGGGAACAATGGAGCCACCTGCTGGGGTCCTTGATGGCCTGAGGGGAGAAGCCTTCCAGGCCTGGGTCGTAAGTGACAGTTGGGTTTAGGTCCACAAAGTGACCAAGAGAGAAGGAAGCCTAGTGGGGAAGGACTGCCAGGTGGGGCACGGAAGGTTCTGGGAGCCCCTGAAGGATTCTGGGTAAGAAGAAGACAAAGAGCCCTGTTTGAGGCAGCTGTGGGAGAAGAGATTTGAAAGGAAGGGTGAGGGAAGGGCTGGGATGTTGCAGGCTCCACTGGCTGATTCATGTGTGTCCCATGCTTCCTGGTTCAGAACCAAAGGTGCTGAGGTTTGTGGTACAGAAGCTGGATCGCTGGCGTCCTGCTCAGGTGTCTCCTCTGCCCCATTGGAGTAGTGCACTGCCTGGCCCGGGAAGGTCCAAGCCACTTCCATGGACACTGCAAGATGGGCACCCTCAGCCTGGCCTCTGGGCTCCCAGGACTGCTGGCATCACCGGGCCGGGCTCATCCCCACATGCGCAGTAGGTACTCATAGCTGAGGAAAGTGACAGCATTGACGGGAAAGGCACGGGCACTGTTGATGGTAAACCCCCGGAAAAAGACTCCCAGGCCCTCCTGCCGGAAGCTGGTCACTATGCAGTCCAGCATCCCCTTATACGCTCTCTGGTTCACACAGCCCATCTGCATCCTGGCCTTGATCACGTCGAAGGGTGTGGCTGTGACCCAGGAGCCGATGCCTGCAAAGCCCCCTGCCACCATCACTGTGGTTGAGCCTGGGACAAAGGAGGCCCAGGGTCAGGTCAGACCTGGAACTGAACAGCTCCATATCCAACCTCCCTCTCCAGCCTCTGCTTCAACGTCTCTGTCCCACACCTCTGTCCCCCACCCTCTCACCACTTCACTCACTGGGTTGCTGGCCAGCTGGGGTGTACTTGTGACAGAGCCCTTCATAGGTGACGAAGTAAAATCCCAGTGTGGGAGTGTCCCTCAGCATCAGGGCCCCAGATCCTCGGAACAGCCCCCGGGGCCCCTCCTCTCGGAAGATGGTGACTGCACAGTGCACAGGCCCCCGGTACTTGGGTGGGGGGCTCCCTGGCCACAACTTCGACTCTGTCTGATTTTGTAGACGGACTTTGATGAGGTCAAAAGGGGCCAGGGAGTAGGCCTGTTGAGAAAGAAAGGAGAAGGCTCTAGGTGGGGCTGGGGCTGGGCTTCTGACTGACAATGCAGAGGGGCTGCATGGGCCTGTGGGGCACACACTCCCACAGCCCTGCCTCTTGAACATGTGGCTGAGCATGGGCCAGGGCACCTGGACACAGCAGGGACAGGCTACCTCCTTATTATCGGTGCTGACAGCGCTTGACATAGTCCCTTCCACATTTAACAGCACCAAGTTTGCATGGCTGGCACCAGACACTGGAGGATGAGCCTGCTTGTTTCTCCAGCAGTGGGTGTGGTCACTGGCCTCCCTTCATCCAGGGATGAGCATGTTTTGCCATGACTGGGGCTGAATAAAGGATTCCATCACCATGGAACAGGCTGGGGGAATCCTCACCTCATGGACACTGTTCTAATGACAGGGCCTAGATTTATAGATTTATATCTCCCAGAGGTCCCTAGGGGCCTGTCCTGGGCCAGCCCTTCCTGTCTGTCACCAAGCTCCACCTACTGATGTCCAACAGAGAGGTTTCTGAGCAAGCGGGAAGGTGATCTGGTAGGTCCTAGAACACTACTCTTGGCTTAGGCAGACAGGGGCTGGGTTTGGGGTCTCACTGAGATGAGACCTGGGGGAGGGTGAGTGCTCGTGGATGCGGAATTCGAGGAGGGGCTTCAGTTTGGATAAAGGAGAGAAAAGCTGCTGAAATTCTGCCAGGTGTAGTAGCGTAGGCCTGTAGTCCCAGCACTTGGGAGGCTGAGACAGGAGGATGACCTGGGCTACACAGTGAGTGCAAGACCAGCCTGGTCTGCATAGCAAGACTCTGTCTCAAAAAACCAACCAACCAACCAGGGCCGGGGATTTAGCTTAGTGGTTCCACTACTTGCCTTGCAAGCGCAAGGACCCGAGTTCAATCCCCAGTACCAAAAACAAAACAAAACAAAAAAAACCAACCAACCAAAAAACAAACAAACCAAAGAAGAAGAAGCTGCTGAAGTTCAGGTGGGAACTGAGGTCCAAGCTGAGGTTGGCCTGTCATGGGGGTTTGGACTTGTTTGGACTCTGAAAGATGGCTGATGATGAAGGGGCAGGTGATGGACTCTGGTGCTGGGCTTCATTTTATTTTAAGACAGGGTCTCGATATGTAGTTCAGGCTGAACTTGAACTCTATGTAGCCCAGGCTGGCCTCAAACTCACAGTGATCCTCCTGCTTCAGCCTCCCTAATGCTAGGATAACAGGGATATGCTACCACACCCAGGTTTTTTTTTTTTTTTGAGACAGGGTCTTGCTGTGTAGTTAGTTCAGGCTGGCCTTGAACTCATGATGTAGCTCAAGCCAGCCTTGAACTGGCAGCAATCCTCCTCCCTCAGCTTCCTGAGTGCTGGGGTTATGGGTGTGCATCACCACATCTGGCTTTCCAGTGGTAGGCTTCAGCAGGTGGCTGGATGCACTCTGTTTCCCCTTGTGCCAGAAGGCAGAATGGTGGGTTGGTGACCCCTTTTGTGAGATGGGTCCTGACTCCATCCTCTGGAGCCTGCTGGCATGACTGAACTGAAGGGGGTCAGTCTGCTGAGCCTGGTGCTCCTGGTGCTGAAGACAAGCTTGGGCCAGAGGTGGGGGTGCCCGTGCAGTGGGAGACTGGGGTATCAGACGCTACTTACCGTGGCAGGGCCAGCCTCAGCCAGAACTAAAGCAACTTTCATCCCGAGTGGGGTTTGTCAGCTCCTGCCTCTTCCTCCTTCCTAGTAAAACACACCTCTGCTCCCAGCTCCTGTTACAGCAAAGCTGCCATCTTGAAGGCAGACCCAGTCAGCTCCTGGACCCTAACTGTCCCCTGCTCTGCTTTCCTATGTGCCTTTGGGGCGTGACTGAGGAGCCAGCCTGCCTGGGCCTAAGTCAACCACTGCACAAAGTCTCAGTTCTCTTCCTTGTTTTTGAGGGGTGTAGGTCTCAGGATTTAGGAAATATGTAGACTTATGCCCCTCACACAAGGGGCAGAAGAGAAGCCAGGACCTCAGGGGTTTCATTAATCATTAATTCACGTGAATGAGTACCCTGACTTTGTCTGAAGGTCTTACTCTGTACCCCATGCCCTGTGAAGTGTGTCAGAGTATCTGGGTATAGTGGCACACACCAGTAATCTCAGCACTTTGGGAGGCTGAGCCAGAAGGAACTGAAGTTTGAGCCCAGTTTGGGCAATTTAGCAACTTATTGTGACCCCCGCCATAAAACAAGGGCTGGGGATGCAGCTCATTGTGAACACCCGAGGTCCATCCTCAATACTAGGGGAAAAAAAGGTGTGTCAGGGTCATTAAGGCAGGCACAGGTCGGGGATGGTGCCAGGCACATGCCCGAGTCATGCTCAGAGGCCCCATTTGGCTCAGGTTCCTTTTGTGTCCTGGAGGCCACTCTTACCTCCACCCTAGTCCTCCAAGAACACTACAGTGCTGAGGACAAAGATCAACCTAAATGATTAGAGCAACTTAATTATTAATATCCTGGTCTTCTCCCAGTAAGAGCCCGTGACCTGGGCCACAGGTGAGGCTCACAGATCACAGCGGCCAAGGCTGAGCTGGGCAGGGTAGGACGAGCACCAGGGCTGCACTGAGACCCCCAGAGAGGGTAAGCTGTGAGCCTGGCAGACCCCTCCGGCTGCTTCTCTGTAGTGCCCTCTTGGCACGCCCCCCCATTCTGCATGAACCCCGCCCCCAGGCCTGCAGCCTGGCAGCCCCTAGCTTAGCCACGTCAGGTCACTGGGAGCAGTAGCACCTGTGCCCCTCAGGAAAGCCTGTCCGTCCATGGCTGTGGATTCCTGGAGGAAGCTGGGAGGGGACAGGTCCCATGACTGTCACCACACCACCATCGCATGCCCATGCTCTGCCCTCTCACCTGCAGGAAGCCCCCAGTGCAGCCCGCTATGAAGATGTGTGTGTAGCTGGGCAGCTGGGCCCGCCGGTCCTGGTGGGAGGTCGCCGTGAGTGCCTGCAGGGTGTTGCTGTAGACCCCGAACAAGATAGAGTTGACCACAGCTACACTGGCGATTGGGAAGCTCATTCCCTTGAAGAAGCCCAGGATCTGCAGAGTGATGTGGTGGCACTAGCGTAGGCATGGTGGCCCTCCCCTGCCCTTTTCAGCCTTGGCCAGATCCCTCTCTGGCCGGACACCACCCCCAAGCCCTACCCAATGGAAGTGGTGTAGGTGAGGCTGAGAAGGCCCCAGCTCCACCCACAGGGTGCTACGCTACCACCTGGTGCCCCCAAGAGTTCCAGACTCGGGTCTTCTCTCTTCCAGCAGAACCCTGATGGGAAGGAGAAGGAGCTTGGGCCTCCCACCCTTGATGCCACCCACCCCAAGGAAGAGAGACACCCACTGACTCATAGCGGTAAATCTTGACCACGCAGTCCACAATGCCCCGGTATGTGTTCTGGGTTTGCAGCCGCACCTGGTTGGGGAGGACATGGCAGGTAAAGCAGGCGGGCAGCTCTACTCTCTGCCCCAGGAACAAGATGCCAGCAGGCTGACAAGGCAGAAAGGTTCAAGCAGGACCATCCACTCCTCAGGTGCCTCTCCTAGACTCACCTTTACAGTGTCAAAGGGGTGGCCCATGACCAGGCCCAGAGCTCCTGTGGTGACAAGAAGGTACTATGAATGAAGGCCTTGTGCCAGGGCCAGAAAGCAAGTCTGTGAGACAGAAGAGGAGGATCCAACAGGAGGAGAGGAGCCCGGCACCCTCAGACACCTGCTATCCACCTTCCATTTGATGTCCAAGACTACCCCTGCCTGATCCCCCGCAGCAAACACTGGGAGGAGGAAAGCACTGGGCCAGGGATTAAGGCCCCCAGCCCACCTGAGGGGACATGGAAGGGAAGCACAGACGGCAGGTGCACTGTTCTCTCAGCGTTGTGGCCTTGATCCAGAGCAGACCCTGCCCTCCTGGCACTTGCCACCCCTCTACTGAAGCTGAGGAGACTATCCAGGGGTCCTACTGGCCCCAAGGAAGGAGACTCCACTTCCCCACTTCCTGGGCTGCTTCTGGAGCTTGGGGGAAGGTTGCAGCCCCAGGAAGCATTTAGACTGTCCCTAAGAGGAAGGTCATCAGAAGCTGGGAGTGGCACCCATTACCTGATAGGACAGAAGCCTGAAAGGAAACTTGGGACAGCAGATGAGGTCAAAGGTGGACTTCCTTCTGGTCTCCACAGGATGGGACTGGACCCGGGGGCTCTCCAGCCCTTAGTGTGTGCCAGGTAGAGGAGCCTTGGGATCCAGGGGCAGCCCCTCCAGCCTGTGCTTCCTCTCTTATCCTCCCTGCAGGTCACCACCAGGAGGCCCTGGGGACCAATGGCTCCAGGGAACTCTTGGGGGTTCAAGGCTTTGGTCTCAGATCCTCCTGTGTCACCCACCTTCCCTAGGAAGTGACCCAGACTGGGAGGTGATGTGATAGAAGGAAGAAAATGCCTCACCTGAAATCCAGCCAGCTACAAACTCCTCCACAGGCATTGTCTGGGCTGAGGTGGGACCTGGCAGCTGGCAGCTCCACAGCTCCACAGAGGAGACTGTCCAACTTGTAACTTGTCCCCTTTCCCTCCCCTGGGCCTGCAGATAATCTCCCACTAATGTTTAACCCTGGTTGGAGGGTGAGAAAAGTGGCCCAGTGCCCAGGCCTCAGGCAACTAGGAGAGGGGAGTAGGCCAACCTTGGTGACCCCGAGACTGGAAGGGTGTGTGGAGCAGGTCACCTCAAGAGGGAAGGTGACAGTCCACAGCAAGCCTGATTCCCCTGCCCAGGCAATGACAGCCTCGCTGTGTAGCCACAGAAGACAACTGAGTCCCAGCCAGCCAGATCCCTTTCGGACTGCCTCAGTCAGGCAGGAACAGGCCCAACCCTAAGCCCCATTTCACTGGCCTTGCCCACCCCACGAGCAGCAAGGACAGGGAGTGGGAGAGCCTGGTCACCAGGGGGCAGCCCAGCTTGAAGTGACCTGCAGCAGCCACCCAGGCCAGGCCCAGATAGGAGCAACCCAGAAAGGAGAGGAGCTGCTCCCCCAGAAGTGACTCACCAGGCCCTGAAGCCTTCTGCTTTCTCCAGAGTTTTTATGACTCCGCCGTGTGAGTCACACCCCAGCCTCCCTCGGCCCCCTCTTCCGGGGAACCCTGTGTCTATCAAGGACACTGTGTCTGTCTGCCATGCCCCGGAGGTGCCCTGTGCTTGTTTGCTCTCTCCCTCCCTCTGGCCTTCCACCAGCTGCCAGAACCTAGATACTGGACTTCCTGGCCTCCAATATGTGAGAAAGAAATTCCTTTACAAATGAAAAGAGAGAGAGAGAACCCAAATCTTTTCTAGACACTTTGAACCCTTGCCCTGCTGCCCATTCCCCTCTGACCTCATCTCTAGCTGCCATGGCCTCCCTGCTTCTGTTCAGCCAGGCCCCATCTCTAAGCCTTTGCTTCCTCTGTCCCCTCTTCCTGGACACCCTCACAAATGTCACTTCCCCAGGGAGGCCTCCCCAGATCCACTTAGGTAACGTTGCTATCTGTCTGCCCGAGGCTGGGGCCCAACCCGGCTCTTCCTCTTCCCCTCAGCCCAAATCACTGACACTGGAATAAACTAAGTGCTTGTCTGGGCAGACAAGGATCTCTGGCTGTTTTGGCCACCAATATGTTTTATAATCTTAGAATAATGTGCACCAAGCCAGACAGGTGGCACACACCTATAATCTCAGCACTCAGGAGGCTGAGGCAGGAGGATCACAAGTTCAAGGCCAGCCTGAATGACATAGTGAGACCTTGTCTCAAAACCAAAAAAACACCCAGAAATACCTGGTAAAAAAAAAAAAAAAAAAGTGTGGCACAGGGTAGGCACTCAATAAATTTAGTTGCATGAATGAAAGAATGATTGGGTGACATCAGGGAAGAGCACTAGTGGCCACACCTGGTGGCCACTTCTCCCCCTCATCACCTAAGGGCCCAGAAGAACAGAAAGGCCCAACGGCACCCACCCCAGGTTTCTTTGTAGCTCTTGGTTTCCTCTCAGAAGCCCAAGGACCAGCCAGGCCTGTGTGCGCTTCTCCCCTCTCACTGTGGCCAAAGCAGAACCTGTCCACCCCTGCTCCTTTCTAGGAGGTGGACAGGTCCCAGAGGTGGGGCCTTGTCTCTGATCTCTGCCTGGAGCTTCCTAGGGCTCCTTGGGCTGCCCCAAAAACCATGAGGACTGTTCTCTCACAGGAGGTGGGGGTGCTTTCCAAATTCCACCTCCTGCTCTGCCCAGTGACGTGAGGCAACCCCTTCTGTGGGCTGTGGGGTTCTTTATCGCTTGGCAAACAGGGGACCAGCCCAGCCAATTGGTGTCCAAGCCTTTCAGTCCTAAAGCTTGCAGGCCCCTCCTCCTCACTTCCAGATGGTTCTCGGTTTTCCAATCCCACCGTCCTCCCCCAGTTCCAGACCGCCCCTCCTCCCTGCTCCTGAAAACTTGCCAAAGAGAAAGCTGCCCTAGGGTTGTTTCTCCAGTCTTCTGGATTCCACCAGGACGGAGCAGAACTCTGGTCGTGTCCCTCTCCAGCTCACCTCTACAATGTCCTCACCGGCTGACAAAGCTCCTCACCAAGGGTTTCAGGAGCCCTACTACTGGTGACACCCCTACTGGCTCTGACACAGCCAGAGCTTTCCTGTGTCCGAACTATCTCACACAGTTTTCTGCCCTTCCTGCCCTAGCAGCCCGAACCCACTCAGCCTTCCAGACTTTCCTAGTGCCAGTGCCAGCTTCAAGTCTCCTTATTTAATCTTTCCAATCCTTCTTCCTTGCTCCCATAATCAACATCTTTTAGTGTGTGACAAGGGTTAAATCAATTAGGCAAGTGTCTAGCATGCAAATGGTAGCTGCTAATGCTCTTATTTCCACTCACAGGGCCCATGAGGGTGGCCTAAGTATAGGGGTAGGGGTCTGTAGGCAGGGAAAAAATACAATAAGGGGCCTCATGAGGACTTCTGGTTAATCCTGACTGTGAGATCAAAGTTTATAGAGAAATCTCTCTGGAAGCAATTCAAGGACAGGGACAGAAAAATGAAAGGAATGAAAGAAAGAGAGAGAGAGAGAAAGGAAGGGGGAGAGAGAGAGAAAGAAAGAGAAAAGAAGAAAAGAAAGAAAGAAAAAACAGATTAAAAAGGCACCAAGATAGCACAGGTGGCATTAGGGACTTACCACAGGCAGAAAGAACTGACAGGCACAAAGCCAAGCTGAGATAGCCATCCCTCTCCACCTCCAATACCATGTAGAGGAGACAGGCAAAGGGGCTAGTTTTAACAAAAGTTCTTATGCAGTATGTACTCATAAGAAGAGAGAGTCCACCAAAAAAAAAGTATATACACTTCAGGAAAAGAAAAATAGCACTATGTTTTATCAACAGATGGTCTTACCCTCCTATGGGGGACCCTAGAGGATGCTGTGTATCACAGAAAACCCACTACACTGCTAGCCCTTAGAAAAGAGATTGAAAATGCATGTCCAGCAATCTCAGTAAACATTCTGACCAAGGTCACCCAAGCAGCAGTTCGCAATACTAATAAATGTCTGGAAGCTAATGGGCACTGCTTTGAACACCTCTTATAATTGTAGAGGCCAAAGGTACTTGTATTAATCTCATGATGTCTCAGTAAATTTAGTATTAAAATATTTATACAAGTTTTTCTTTTCCTGAAGTGTGTACACATTTTGTGGTGGACTCTGTATAAATACGTATGTGTTTACTCTAGGGTCATTATATGACTACAATAGAGACCCACATGCACCCTTACTAACTCTAAGCTAATCGTGAATAAGGCACCCCCTTGCCAATCAGCTGCCCACCCCAGAGATTAAGGCCCTATCAATGACAAGTAAACAGACAGAAAGAAGCTACACATAGACCACCAGAAGAGATGACACAGGCAGAGGTGCTCGGAAGCCATCAAGTTATGGCAAGTTCCAGGTAGGGGAAGGGTCTCTGACCCCCTATAAAAGCAGTGGGATGGGACTGGGGATTTAGCTCAGTGGTTTGGCTGCCTGCTGTGCAAGCGCAAGGACCCGGGTTCAATCCCTGGTACCAAAAAAATAAAAAATAAAAAATAAATAAAAGCAGTGGGAACAAAAGGACCACAGGTCCTGATTCTCCCGCCCCCGGTACTGGGAATTGAACTCAGGACCTTGCACTTGCCAGGCAGGTGTGGCGCCACTGAGCTACATCCTCGGCCAAAGGGTCTGACCTGGGATATATTATGCAGGTTGAGGACACAAGACTGCTAGGTAATGAATTTTTTTCTGTTACTCTGCCGCCTGGCTCGCAAGCGCGAGGTCCTAAGTTTGATCCCAGTACCAAAAAAAAAAAAAAAAAAACAAAAAACTGAGCAAGAATTTTTTTCTGTTACCCTGATTCTTATCAGGGTAGCTATCTATCTCCTCCTTTATCCTCCTTTCCAATAGTCTTCCATTCCTTAAACTTTGTATCTTTAATGCATTACTGGTAGAAAGTTTATGATCCTGGTGACCTGCTTGGCCCAGCAGAGCAGCGGTGCTCATCCATGCTCATCCCCTGCACATGTCATAAGGAAACACAAAAAAGGGCTTGGGGCCCAATCTCCATCCCACAGTAGGTGAGCAGGAATCGAAAAACTTCCTCTTCCTGTTTGAAGTGTTTCGTAGCTCTTAAAGGCAAAACTATCACCTTCTGTACTTTCAAATATGCTATTCACCTGAGTTTCTCTCTTCCCTTCTCTGTTCCTCAATTAAACCATAAAGGACACTTCCTCAAGCAAGGGCTGTGATTCCCTGGGTCTCCACCTTCTGCCCTAGCACAAGTTCCATATCCAGTGGGCACCCGACACTGAGCTGTTTCTCCTTTGCTCCAGCTGGTTTGGGGAGGCCACCAAACCAGTAGTGTGAGGGTCCAGAGCCGAGCTCGGGAAGGGGGACACCTGCTCCCACTCACTCTTCTCTGACCCCCACAGGCCATCTTCGTTGAGTCCTCGGGTCACCCCTGCAAGGAAGACATTGCAATGGGCTCAGCTGGTGCTGTATGGGTCCTAGGAGGGCGGGCAGAGCTGCTTCAAATACAGAATATGAGATGGGGATTATGGTGCATACCTAACCTAGCACTCTAGGAGGCTGAAGCAGGAGGATCACAAGTTTTGAGTGCAGCCTGGCTCAGTAGTGAGACCTTGTCTGAAAATGAAAAATAAAAAAGGGGCTGAATATGTAGTTCAGTGTGAAAGCCCTGTACGACTAGAAACAAACACAGAAGACACTTGGACAGGCAAGGAACCATTGAGCTTCCTTCCATCCCAGGGAGTCAGGACAAGGTGAACCCACGTATCCCTGTTGCTGATCCCCAAGCCCATTGTTCACTTGAACAATCTCCGATACCCTCCTCCCGTCCCCCTTGGGCAGGTGTTCCATGGATCTGTTTTGCTGGATTCAGACACATTCGTACTGGCGCTGCCCGGACATGTTGGTGACGTGACTGGGGGACACTGGATTCCCACCTACCTCTTCGGAGGCCCAGAGCCTCTCAGTTTGGGAACAGCTCAAGGTCTGGGAAGTTGTGTGTTTAAAATAGCAGGTGACCGCGCCCTGGAAAAAGCGCACCTGGCTCGGTCTTTAACACAGACATATAATTGGAGCCTGAGGCAGGCTCTTGAGACTTACGGAATCCAATCCCATCGTTTTACAGATGATGAAATTGAGGCCCAGAGAAGGAGATTGTGAGGACACTGTCTCCTGAACACAACCAAGAGCCCATCGCCCCCCACCGGCAGGGGGCGCTGCGGTAAGGCGGGTGCCTGCGACGCCCCCACCCAGCGCCCAGCCCGACTCGACGCTGAGAACGTCTCCACTCCCAGGCGGGGATTAGCTTGAGAGCTCCAGATCTCGCGCTCTCATCCTGTTTGTTTGTTTTTTGGTACTGGGGATCGAACTCGGGTCCTTGAGATTGCAAGGCAGGCAGCGGAACCATTGAGCTAAATCCCCGGCCCAATCCCCAGTTTTCTTGACTCTTCACCACACGCTATTACAAGTACGCGGGTCTGTATCTAGGTGAGGAGCAACAGGCCCAGCGACACTCGCGTTGGCGGCGGGACCAGCTCACGACCCCACCCCCCGGGGCGTGGCTACACAGCCCAGGCGCGCACCCCGGGAGTCTGGGCCTGCGCAGCCCCTGGAGGGCGGTGGCAGGGCGCGTGCCTGGCGGCCCCAAGCTCCGATTGGCTCCCATGGTCGGAGAGGTGGGAGGCTGAGCCCGGCGTTTCCTCCTGCCGCAGCTTCCGCGGAGCAGCCCAGGCGGCGAGATCTTCTGTGGCAGCTCTGGTCTAGGCGGTGGTCTGCGGGACTGGGGCTTGAGTCAGAATAAGATCCTGGCCGGACGCAGTGGACTCTGCAACCCGCAAGGTGAGAGCGCGGCCACTCACTGCCGCAAATGAGGGCGCGCAGTGCCCTGCCTGGGCATCCGGACGAGCGACCCTCCGCCCCTGCCCAGACCCTCGGGGTCGGACCCCTCGGACTGGCCTCCGCCTGCCGGTCGGCGGAGAAATGCGCACCTCTGCCAATCTGCGCGCACCAGCCAGCTTGTTCAGCCTTGTAGACCAGTCCCGGACTTCCTCCCTTCGTCATTGATAGCTTGAAGAGACCCTCGGTCCCCCCGCCTGGCGCCCCCCCCCCGCTCCCCCCGTAACTGCTCTTTCCTTTACAGATGGAAGGGACAGAGGGCAATCCGGGGCAGCCCGGCCCCGCTGAGCAGTCCCATCGAAGCAGCGTGTCCTCCGTGGGAGCCCGAGGTGGGTCCCTGACCTTCCTCCCCACCATTCCCTCCTGGGACACCAGCCTTGGGGACAGGACTCAGGGTTGTCTTCTTTTTCACTAAGGATAATCTTATGAATTAATTAGAAATAAGGTGTGTTGAGGGCCGGGGATTTAGCTCAGTGGTTCCTGCCGCCTGGCTCGCAAGTGCAAGGTCCCGAGTTCGATCCCCCCGTACCAAAAAAAAGAAGAAGGTGCGTTGAGATGTGACAAACTCACAGGAGCCAGGCTCCCAGAACCTGGGCTGTGCCTCTAGCTTAGTGCACCAGTCTTTACTCTTACTTGGTCTCATTTGTAAAATGGGCGTGTCTCAGTTCTAGCTGTAAATTCAAATGAGAACAAGTGAATGAAAAGTGACACCTTACTTTCTTTGTTCCATTTCTTTCTCACGAACTTTCCTTTGAAAGAAGAGATCATTAGCTTCCTTTTATAGGAAGGAAATTGGGCCCTAGAGAGGTGAAATCACAGGTTAAGTACTGGAGCCCTCTAGGTGATCCTGAGCTTGACCTTCACTGCCCTGTAAAGTGGATCAGAGTCTCAGCCTCTGGGAGATGATTTCTGTGATCTCTCAGAGTAGCTGTTGGAGCAGAAGAGACCGAGGGTCCGAAAAAGCACCTTCACCTTTGTTAACTACAAATTATGCCTTTCCCTTTGCAGACTTCACCTCCTTTGATTTACAGCTACTTTTTTGGGAAAGGATATTATCTCTGGGGTTTTGGTTTTGGTACTGTGACTTGAACTTAGGGCCTTCACAGTGAGCTACATCCCCATCTCTCTTTTTTTTCCCCCTGAGACAGGGTCTCCCTGTGTAGTTCAGGCTGACCTTGAACTCACTATGTAACCCAAGCTGCCCTTGAACTTGTGGTAATCCTCCTGCCTCAGCCTCTTGAGGGCTGGAATCATAGGCATGCACCACCACACCTGGCCCCCAGCCCTTTATTTTTAAAGAGGAAGGGTATAAGTCACTAAATTCCCCAGACTGAGCTCAAACTCGTGACCTCCTGCCTCAGCCTCCCAAAGTGCTGGGATTACAGGCATGAGCCGCCATACCTGGCTTTAGCTCTCATCTGACAGATGAGGCACATACACTCAAACCAACTTGCTGAAGTCAGCTGTCTACAGAGAGTAAGCAAGGACTGGGACCTGAGGGTGTGGGCCTTCACTGTACCTGTGGCTCCAGGGGTGGAGGCTTGAATTTTGACTCAGGGCACCAAACTGGAGTTTCCCAATGTCATGGGAAACATTTGCTGTTTGGGTTATACTTCCCTAGCCTGCTTAAGGCTGTCCTGAAAGGCCATAGTATTGCTCCCTAAGGTTTGAAGAGGCGTAAGAAAACTGACATGTGGACATTGCTGTGACCTGGGGTGCCCTTAGGAATCCTCGTTCTTATCAAAGCTTGGGCCAGAGAAAGATGGAAGCTCGCCTAAGCATGACCCAGGGTCACCAGCTGACCCCACTCAGCCCAAGAAGCTAACTGCCGTGACCCCAGAGTGGGTTCAGCCTGTGTACCACATTCACCTGTGGAGTCATGTTGTTCAGGGCAGAAGCACAGCAGAGCCCCTGGGGCTGCCTGAGCAGTTGAGGGCAGGGCCTTCCTCTGTCTGGTTCTAACTGAATCTCGGCCTGGGCTGGGGTCAGTGCATGGGCCAGAGTTGCTGGATTATTTATTGGGTGGTTTGAGGATCTTGTGGAAATAGAGTCTTTCATTGAGGCCAGCCTGAACTACATAGCAAGACCTTGTCTCAAAAAAATAAATAAATAAATAAACAACAACAAAAAGGGTATTTCAGAGTTGGTGTATGACTGTAATCCCAGCACTCTGGGAGGCTGAGGCAGGAGAGTCACAAGTTCTAGCCCCGCCTAGGCAATTTAGTGACTTACCCGAGACCTCATCTCAGAATTTTAAAAAATAGGACTAGTAATACAAAGGCCCTGGGTTCAAACCCCAGAATCACAAAAAAAGGTGGGGGGACGTACGTTTTTCAGGGATGCTAGAGCTCCATCTTGGAGTGAGCCTGGATCACCCACGGGGCATGGAGTGATGGAGGGTGCCTGGTGTGGGCCTCGGCTGACCTTGCCTGGCTTCCCTCGCAGCGGCTGATGTGCTGGTGTACCTGGCTGACGACACAGTGGTGCCCTTGGCCGTGGAGAACCTGTCCTCACTCAGTGCCCACGAGCTGCACCGCGCAGTCCGGGAGGTCCTGCAGCTCCCGGACACCGCCCTGGACGCCTTCGCGCTCTGGCTTGTCTCCCCTCTGCTGGGTGAGTGCAGCTGGGCAGTGGGGTGTAACGGCGGGAGGGTCGGCCCTGCACTGAGGCACTGACTACCGAGCCAGTGGGTACTTCCCGAAACAATGGCTGCTGCCCAGCAGGGAAGGGGGGACATGGATGTCCTGGAGCTGTCTACTTTGAGGAGCCACAGCCCTGAGACTCCTGGCTCTGCCGCCATCACCTCCTTTCTGCTGGTGGCAGAGGAGGGCCAAGCCTGCCTCGTCCTCTGTGGGGCTGGAGTGTCAGGAGGAACAGGTGTGGGAGAGGAGCAGAGGATGTCCTGCACAGTGAACAGTGCAGTGCAGCAGCCTGGCCGAACTTGGTGGGCATGGTTTCATTGTATTCTCAGGGCCCAGGTGTCCTGTGCTGAGGTCTGGAGCATTGAGAGCAGTGAGTGTTAGAACCAGGACCGAGACAGAACCCAAGTGGCAGCCTCTGGACTGCATCCTGTTCTTTGGGGGGCTGGGCGAGGGCCGGGCACAGACTGGAGGGCTGCCTATGAGGCCTTGTCGAGGGCAGGGACGGTCAGCAAGGAGGGACACAGCTGCTCATCCGCCCACATCTTGCAATTCAGACTGGGACCCCTAGGGGTGGGGACCATGTCTCTGCAGACCCTCAGCTGGAGGTTCCCTGGGTGAATAGGGTCCTGAGCCTGCTACCTTGGATAGGGAGATGCTCTGTGTCATTTTGGGGAAGTAAACTGGTGCTGGAGCTGGGGATGTTTTGTTTTTTTGAGACAGGGTCTTGATGTGTTCTTCAGGCTGGCCTTCCCAGGCTGTCCTCGAATTTGTGGCAGTTCTTCTATCTCATCCTCCTGAGTGCTGATATTGCAGGTGTGCACCACCATGCGAGGCTCTGGGCATGTTTTCCTTTTTTGGTTTTGTTTTGAAGGCAGGCTCTCACTATGTAGTTTAGGTTGGCCTTGAACTCACTATGTAGCCCAGACTGGCCTCAAATTCTAAGTGATCCTCCTGCCTCAGCCTCCTGAGTGCTGGGATTACAGGTGTGCACCACCACACCCAGCTCCAGGGTTGTTTGGTGATCTTGAATATTTCCTGTGTTGAAGAGAAATGGGGCCAAGATGGGAGTGACTGCCCCCACTAAGAGGACTGGTCCCAGAAGGACTGCTGGGTCAGGCTCCAGGGCCCCCAGAGGTGACCTTCTGTCCTAAGACCACTGGGATTTGTATCTGGCCGGAGGGAGGATCTCAGTTGGCTTGCTGGCCCAGAGGGTGCTCCACCCCCACCCCCTCATCCTCTCCCCGTCCAGTCAGCTTCCTGAGCAGCTGCTGCTCTGTGGCTCTCGCCCACCCTCTTCCTACTGCCTCGTCTGCTGGGCCCCCACACCCAGGCTCCCCTCCCATCCTCTCGGCTTTAGTCAGGACTATGGGCCCCTGGCTGTTTCTTGGGAAGGCTAAGGGTGGCAGGGCCCAGTGGGTGGCCCCTGCCCTGCCTCTCAAGGCTCTCCGGGCAGCTTGCTTCCCCTGCCACTTCATATGTCCCCTCCCTCCTCACATTCCCATCCTCTCCTCCTTAACATTCTTGTCTCTGTGGCCAGGGCTGAATGGCCTGCTGTGTCCCAAAGGAGGGTGGTGAGGCCGAGACACAGTCAACACCTATGTTGTTTCCAGGCTGCTTAGGGAGGGTGAAAGGCCACTCCAGCTTTGCCTTGAGGCCCCAGAAGCCCGGGCTCTAGGCAGCGATGGGCCCCAGGGCTTTTGAGTGTCTGCAAGGTAGAAATGCATTAATGTCTAGAAGGCCCACCCTTCTTGTCACAGGTTTTGATAAGGTTTAGCATTCTCTGAGCCACTGTCACTGGATAGAACACAGCACCAGCAGTTGGCAATCTCATTTGGGTGACAGTCCCCAGGTAAGAAGGTCCTGCCTGGAAGTCTGTGGAAACGTGGGTCTTTCAGGCTGCTGTGGCTTGGAGTGAAGGCGGGAAGAAGGACCTCCTGTCTCCTAGTCCCCTTATTCCACGAGGATGTGCACAGCTCCCTGGTGCCTAGCAGGGTCCAGCAGCCTGGGGGTACAGCAGGGGATGAGGCCAGCTGATGTGGTCCCTGCCCCCAGAGAACCCCAAGGAGGTGGTACTTTGGAGTTGGAGTTGGAAGTGTGGCGAAGGGAGCTTTGGGAAGCAGAGCTGTCCCTATTGGTTGCTGACTCTTTGTGGTGTCGGGCAGTCCCGTCCCTCTGTGAGCTTTCCACCTGAGAAGTGGATGATCTCAGTGTCCCCACTCATCCCTAGGTGGAGAGAGCATGAAGTGGGGCTGATGAACAGGATGGTGGGGAGCCCCTCCTGGAGAGAAAGGAGGGAGCACCTTCTCATGGGGGAGGGGGTGTGTGGGCAGGGATCTGGTGGGAAATGAGGGCATCTGGGCAGCCTGGATCAGAAATGACAGAACAAGCTGGGCATGATGGCACACACCTGTAGTCCCAGCACTCCGGAGGCTGAGGCAGGAGGATTACCAGCAAGTTCGAGGCCAGCCTGGGCTACATAGTGAGACCCTGTCTCGAACAAACACAAACAAAACAAAAGGAATGACAGGACAAGAAAGGACTGGAGAAGCTGGATACAGCGCTTGAATGGAAGAGGCTGGAGGCAAGGAGGCCAGTTTGGAGGCTCTGGCTACTATTTGGGGTCAAGGTCAGGGTCCAAATGGAAGGTCTGGATGGTCCAAAGAATAGCAGAGACAAGAACCCTTGGCATCAGGCTGGCAGGACGAAGTGCTCAGCTATCAGTAGGGAGAGGGGTGGCATTTTGATGCCTACTCCCCTGTGTCAGCATATGTCTCAGTTCATTTCTGGGTGGGTTTGGAAGTGGCCTCCTACCTTTCAAAGGCAGCATTGGGGCAGCCACTGTCACCTGGTGGGGAGGCAGCGGTGCAGAGCTGAAACCACCTTGTCCCTCGCAGGCCCACAGCCCAGAGGTAAGGGGCCGGAGTGGAGAGCTGGCCCATGAGCTCCTGTCTGTGTGACACCTACAGTCTAGGTGGTGGAGGCATCAGGAGAGCCTGGGGAGTGGGAGACACTGCAAAGGCAGGCAGGCAGGCAGGTGCGATGGGTAACGGGATATTTCAAGGAGGGGCTGCCTTAGTTGGGGGTCCAGGACAGGTGGCCTTGAACCAAGACCTGTGCCAGCCAGTCACATGGAAATGTGGGAGACGTTATCTAAGACAGGAGGACCAGCAGGGGTAGAGGTTCCAAGGCTGAGAATGCTCAGGTGTTCAGGAGGTGGCATAGGCGGAGCAGAAGGGCAGGGAACGAGAGAGGCCAGTGGCATGGTGCTGTTTGCCGCCTTGAGTCAAGGAACTCAGAATGGAGGCCATGGGGTGCAGCCTTGCAGTGGGGAGGCCCCTGCCGTGTCAAGGATAAGTGAAGGCAGCCCCTTGGGCCATGGGCCGCTCATTACCAGCTTCAGGTTCTGCTCTCTAATGGCAGCACCATCACCCCCAACCCCCTCATCCCCCTCAGGCCCTCAGCTGTAGCTCACCCTGGGGCTAGAAGGAGGGGAGGCTGGCTGTGTCTGAAGCCACACAGCCTTGCACTTGCTGAGACTTCGGATGAGCAGTGTCACCTATCCGAGCCTCATTTTCTCTGTGGGTGAAGTGAAGGATATGTTACTGCAGGATCAATGTACATAAACCACTTGGAAGAGTTCTGAGCATTTAGTACCTGCTTGGTGACTGTTGGCCCTGGAGTCCCCTTCGTTGCTGCAGTTAGGGGCAGTGTGGCACCATCAGGTCAAGGCTGCAGGGCCACCTCCTCTCTCATTCTGTAGAGGTGCAGCTGAAGCCCAAGCACCAGCCCTACAAGCTGGGCCGCCAGTGGCCGGAGCTGCTGCTGCGCTTCACGGATGCCCCAGATGATGACGTGGCCATGGGTAGGCGCTGCCTCAGGCGAGAGTCAGGGCAGGGGCTGCCCGAGAGAGCTGGGAGGAAGGTGGGCTAAGGCTGCGTGGTCCCAAGCTCGAGGGTTTTCCCTGTGGGGTGGAGTGGTGGCCAGGCACGAGCCCAGCCTCTCTCTGCAGACGAGCCTTCCCTGCAGTTTCGGAGGAATGTGTTCTTCCCAAAGTGGCGAGAGCTCCAGGTGAGGTCCCAAGCCCACGAGTGCCACGCAGGTCCTGTGTGTAGCCGCCCTATCCCTGGACCCCTGGACCTTTTCACCTTGCTCCAGCCCACTGAGCTGTCTTTCCCTGCCACACTGGCCCACAGATCGGCGACGAGGAGGTCCTGCGGCTGCTCTACGAGGAGGCCAAGGGCAACGTGCTAGCCGCTCGGTACCCATGCGACATGGAGGACTGTGAGGCCCTGGGTGCCCTGGTGTGCCGTGTGCAGCTTGGGCCTTACCAGCCTGGCCAGCCTGAGACCTGCACCCTGAGGTGAGGGCAGTGTGACCCCTGTTAAGTAAGTTTGCCCCCAGAGTCCTGCTTAGAAGCAGTGCCGAGTCCCAAAGCGTGAGAAACTGTTGTGGATCCAGCAGGTCTCATTCCCTCCTGTGCTGGCTGCAGACTGTCTGAGCCTCCTTTTCCTCATCTGCTCTGGGTAGTGGGAGACTCAGGACTCAGAGGAGTCCATAGCCAGCAGGCTTCAGGTGTGTGTGAGGGTGTAGCCTGGCTCCACTGCAGGCAGGAATGAATTGGCCTTATTCTTAGACCAAGCAAATGCTGACTCTCCAGTGGCCAATGACCGTCCAGCTTAGTTCCCAGCCCCAGGTTGAGTGCTGTCCCCAGATGTGTCCCCACCCCTCTCTACAGAAGCCTGTGTTGACTGTGTGAATTCACAGAGTGGCAAGGATTAAGTCCACCCTGATAGCAGACCTGCCAGCCCCCAACCTCTGTGGAGGTGACCCTGATGAGCTTGAGCCCAGGCTGCCCCTCGCCAAGGCTCCTCTCCACCTTGACCCTGCTTATGTGGAGGAGGCAGGAGAGCTTTGTTCGGGGGCAGGGACCTTGTGCTTGGGTCTGACAAGGGCTCCCAACTAAGTAGGTCGAGGTTGGTAGCTGTGGGGTCCTAGCCCTCTGTTCTACTTGCAAGTGACAGCAAACCTCGCTCCAGCTCTTTGGACGCAAGGGCCCTTTGTCAGATTGGGTAACATTCAAGCCCAGGGGGTCAGGGTGCCTGGAGCCAAGCTTAGTGCCAAGGTTCAGCGGGAGTCCCCCGACCTTGCTGTCATTTCTCACCCTGCCCGTGTCTTCTGGGCCTGCAGGAGGTCAGGCATGCTCTTGCCTTGTGGCCCCATGGCCACAGCAGCTGTCTTTGGGCATGAGAGGCCTCTCTGTACACACCCATTGGCCCCACACTCACTGTGGTGACCATAGCTTGGTCGTGGTCCACCCAAAGGAAATACTCTGTCCAGACCACTGGCTGACTGCAACTCGGGTCCCCGTGGGTCACTCCGTGCACCTACATAGACCCCATAAGCCAAGAGCAGGGAAGGCTGGGTTTCTGCACAGCAAGCCGGAGCCCATTGGAGAAGGAATTGGATGGGGGTAATGAAATACCCACCGCATCCCTGTGAATGGTGGGCAGCACCCTGGGGTCCCCTCTTAAGGTGCCTTGTGGCTAGGGCTCTCTGCAACAGGTGTTTCCCCTTGCCCAGCCCTTCCGCTGCAGCAGCTGCCCCTCCCCATGGCCTGGGGCGTCTGAGGCTCCAGAAGCCCCTATGAGACCCTCTCCTCCAGTGGAGGTGGAGATGACAGCTGCAGAGGTATTTATTGAGCACCAACCTCAGGCTTGGGCTGTGCTAGCACCTTCTGTGCTTGCTGGGATTTGTGTCCGTGATTTGTACACGGAGAGGTGGAGCCTCAGAGGCCTCACAGACCAGAGCTCTGGCTGCCATTTTGTTTGTTTAATGCAGTGCTGGGACTTGAGCATTCAGTTATATCCCCAGCCACCAGCCACACACGCACATGCACATATGCACACACACACACACGCGTGCACACAAACGCACACCCAGTTTGTTTTGAGATAGGGGCTTGCTATGTAGTTCAGGCTTACTTTGAACTAACTATGTAGTCCAAACTGGCCTCACAGCAATCCTCCTGGCTCAGCCTCCCAAGTGCTAGGATTACAGGTAAGTGCCACCATGCCCACCTTTTATTTTTTGAGACATGGTCTCACTAAATTACCCAGGCTGGGCTCAAACTTTTGATCCTCCTACCTCAGTGTCCTAGAGTGCTGGAATTATGGGTATGTGCCACCATGGCTGGTTTAAATTGCTGGGTTTTTTTTTTTTTGTACTGGAAATCGAACTCAGGACCTTGAGCTTGCAAGCCAGGCAGTGGAACCACTGAGCTAAATCCCTGGCCTCTTAAATTGCTGTTTTGATATCCTTATCTGGCAGAAGTAAATATTGAGGGCATTAGGCCATTGGCAACAGCGTGGCTATAAAAATTCTCATGGCTCAGAACTCCCCAGCTCCCTGCCTTAGTGACAGACGCTCCCTGAAGCTCTCCTCCAGTCTGGTTCCCAGCCAGGGGGGCTGCTTTGGACTCTTCCTGGCCTACCAGGCTCCCTCAGACTGGGGCCTCCCAGGCCTTCCTGGACTCCTGTATGCCAGCAGGTCCTTGAAGGACAGGATGGGGGACCTCGCCAAAATGGCCAGCATTCCGTGGGTACTCAGGGTCGTGTGTCTCCTTCCCTCCTGGGGGTGGAGACTGGGCCTGGTGACCTCTGCATCTGTCCCCTCTGCCAGCCTGCAGCTCCTCCCGAGAGTTCCCTGGGTGGGGACATGGTGCTGACCAGGAGGGAGGCAGAGCCAGGCTGTGTGGGGGCAGCACACAGAGCGATGGGGCCATCGGCCGAGGCAGGACTGGCAGGGAGGTAGGAAGGCAGCTGGGGTGCACTGGCTTCTGGAGCAGCAGGACAGCAGGGTGGGTGGCATTAGGCAGTGACCCTGGGCTGTCCTCGGGGTTGCCACCCCCATCCTAGTCTTGTCGTTGAAGAGCCTTGCTATGTTTTAGGGCCAAGGTAACTGTCACTGAGGCCCAGTGGTGGCCTCACCATGCCCGCTCTTCGGATGAAGTGAGCACACCAGGGCAGGTGGCGAGCACAGCTGGCCGTGGCAGAGGCAGTCTGGCTGCCCTGGGGAGGGGGCTGAGGTTTGACCCCGCCTGTCTGCCCCTCCAGCTTGGGGTGACTTGTGTGTCCCCTTCCTCTGAGCACCCCGCCTTCTCTTAACAGGGAAGATCTCTACCCCTGACCTGATAGTGGCCCCTCTGTGCCTGGCAGGGTGGCCCTGTGAGCTGGGTGGAGCAGGCCACTGCTGGAATGGCAGTGAGGAGCTCTGTAGTAGGGGCCTCTGGCGTCCCCATGGGGCAGGGGAAGGCCCCAAGCCAGGCCACCTAAAGCCCTTCCCTCTTCTGTGTGTGTGGAAACCCTGAAGATATTGGATCCCACCTTACTTCCTCCACAGGGAGAAGCTGGACTCCTTCCTCCCTGCCCACCTCTGCAAGCGGAGCCATGGCCTCTTTGCTGCCCTCCGGGGCCGCGGAGCCAAGGCGGGGATAGGCGAGCAGGGCCTGTTGAATGCCTACTGTCAGGTGAAGGAAGCAGTCAGAAGTGATGGCGCACACGAGGGCACCCTGGGCTTCCACTATCGTGCCTATCTCCTTAAGTGCCACGAGCTGCCCTTCTACGGGTGAGCAGTCACTGCCCCGGCCTCCCTGCACCCCCAAGCAGCCCTGCAGACTGAGCCCGTCTGCACCAGCTGGCTCTCTCCTTCCCAGGAGGAACCACCTTGGGGTCAGTCCTGGTGCCAAGGTTGGTATTTGTCCTCTCCTTCCTCCTGTCTCAGGCCGGGACATCTTGTGTGGGTCCTCCCTCCCCCTGCCATGGCCACCTAAGGGGGTGGAGTCTGCAGAGGAGAGGCCAGCTCACTTCCAGGCTCCTCCTGCTGCATGGAGGGAGCCAGGTGGAACAGGATGGGGTGCTGTAAGGGTAGGAGGGCAGCTGGGTGGCTTGGCGTTGAGACCACCACACTTTCCCTCTTGCTCTTCAGCTCGGTCTGCTACCCTGGGCAGCCTCACCTCATGTGAGAGTCTTTGCCATGGACAGTGGGCAGCAGGGCTCCTTATCGGCCCTGAATGGACCTTTCTCTGTCTTCACCCGCAGTGCCCGAAGCCTCCTCACCTCTCCCTCTGCACTCTGTCTTGTCTTGGGCCAGGTTTCCATTCAGCCTTCATGCACCCAAACAGCTTAAGCTTCCATGGGCCCAGTGCAGGGCTTTCTGCACATGCACCCTGTGGGAGCAAGTGGGTGACTCTTGTCCCTCCCTAGGTGTGCCTTCTTCCGTGGTGAGGTTGACAAGCCGGCCCAGGGCTTTTTGCACCGTGGTGGACGAAAGCCCGTGATTGTGGCCATCAGTCTGGAGGGCGTGCATGTCATCGACAGCAGGGAAAAGGTACCAGCTCTTCCAGGGTGAGACCTAGGGTGGCCTCCATGGGCGGAAGGAAGTGAGGTCTTGCTCAGGCCTTCCAAGTTCCCTTGAGCCTATAGGGATTCTGGGGGTGGGGTGAGCAGACTGTTTGGGAGTGTCTCTTCGTCCCTCGGATGTCCCTGCAGGCCTGCTCATGTCCTGAGGCTTCCTTGTGTCTGCTGTGGGTCAGCACCTGGCTCCCCTGCCTGGCAGTGGTGGAACCAAGCTGGTGGTTTTCCAAAAACCCCCTGGCTAGGCACTCTCCTGTGCTGCCCATGTCCCATTTGTCCCTGCCTTCAGTGGCTGGCTCCCCTCTGGCTGCCAGTGTAGATGGCCCTGTTGACAGCTCTCCCTGTGTGTCAGCTTACCTGCACCTGGCCAGGCGCTGCCCCTCAGTCTGGCATCTGTCGCAGGAGAGGGACTCCAGCCCTTCCTGGGCAGCTGTGCCCTGGAGTGCAGGACGCAGCTGGTGTCACAGCACAGACCTTCCTGACCCACCTGCCTCTTTCCCCATGAGATTCCCCAGCTATCAGGCTTGCTGGTGGGAAGTGTTGAGGAACAGGGATTCTCAGCATTCCCAGACCCCAGCTCCTGGGAGAATCAGATAAAAACCAGAGCCCCTCTTTTTTAGAGAAACACATGAAGGAATTGAGATGCAGTCTCAGAGAGGCAAAGGCCCTGGCCAGGTGTCCTCTCCTGGTGCACCCCAGGGGAATGGGGTGGGGAGTAGCCTCTGCTGGGGCTCCAGCCTTGCTCTGTATCTCCCGCTGGCCAGCACGTCCTGCTGGGCCTGCGCTTCCAGGAGCTGTCGTGGGACCACACCTCCCCAGAGGAGGAGGAGCCTGTCCTGTGGCTGGAGTTCGATGGGGACACCGAGGGCCTTCCCGTCAACAAGCTGCTCAGGATCTACTCCAAGCAGGTAGTGCTGGTGTCACCTGTACCCAGGCGAGGGAGGCTCCAGGCTGGCTGGGAAGGAAGTCGGAGCACTGCCTGGGGTCTGGGGAAAGGTGCCTGGCTTCCAGTGCCCTGGAGCTGCCCTGGCATGCCCAGGGGGCCTGCTTGGCAGATCTCACACCAGGTGGCACTGGTAACGTGGGTGGGACAGCTGTCCTTGAAGGCTTGCCCAGTGCTGCACAAGCAGCTATGTGCACCATCATCTCCTGCTACAGAGGCCCCATGAGGGGAGCACTGTTTGGTTGTCCCACTCTCGGGAGCAAAGGGCATGGAAGGATGAAGGCCCTGGTTGTCTTAATGGACCCACTCATTCCTCATCGCACCTTCCACCCAGCACCTTCCCTGTCCTACCACCCGGCTGCTCCAGTCTGAGCCCTCCCTGCAGGAGCTCTTCTTGCTCTCTCTTTTCTTGGCACACAGACAAGGTCAGGGACTCCCATCTTCAACACAAATCTCCTCTCCAGCCATCATCTCGGGTCTTCCAAAAAGTTAGAAGCCACACAGATGCCCAGGAGCTGGGGAATAGATAAATGCGTTATGCTCAGCCCTTGAGTATGCAGTGTGTGTGCACCCTTTTTTTATGGTACTGGGGACTTGCACATGTTAGGCAAGCACTCTACCATTGAACTGCACCCCCAGCCCTTGTTTTTATTCTGAGCAGTCTTTCAGTAAGTTGCTCAGGCTGGCTTTGAACTTGTGATCCCCCTGCTTCAGACTTTCAAAGAGCTGGGATTATAGGCATGCCCTACGCTTGGCCATGCATAGCCTTTTGAGACAGGCTGCTTTTCACTACATGGCATATCAGTGCATTTGCCTTACTTTCCGCCGGTGCTGGGAGTGGAACGCAGGGCCTTGTGCACTCTAAGCAAGGGCTCATCACTGAGCTACACCAGGCCCAGTTTGTTCTTTTTCCTGTCAAGTAAGATTCTGCCTCGTAGATGCACTGCAGTTTATCTGTTCACCCACTGAAGAGCTTTTAGGTTGTTCTGCTTTGACTTTTATCAGGAAAGCTGCTCTAAGCACTTGTGTTTAAGTCTGAGATCTCCTTTTCTCAACTATGGAAACCTGGCAGTGAGCTCCTGGGACTGTGTGATAAGCATGTGACTAACTTTACTAGAAACTGCCAGACTTTTAGGTGGCCCTACAGATCGCCTTCCCGCAGTCGCTCCACAGCCTCATCAGAACTTGGTTTTGCCAGTTTCTATTTGTCATTCTCATGATGCATGGCGGTGATATGTTATTGTGGGTTTAATTTCCCTTTTTCTAATGACTAATGATGATTGTCATCTTTTCACGGGCTTATTAACTGCTTGTCCCAGGATCTTCTTTTGTGTGGTATTGATTCACATCGTTTGTCCTTTTATTTGTTGGGTTGTTTTCATGAGTTGTGAGAGTTCGTTATTTATTTTTCATACCAGTTCTTTATCAGCTGTCTTTTTGTTTGTTTGGTTTTGGTTTTTTTTGAGACAGGGTCTCACTATGTAGTCCAGGCAGACCTTGAACTCCCAGCAATCCTGTCTCAGCCTCTTGAGTGCTAGAATCACAGGCATGCGCCACCATGCCCGGTGCAAATGTTTTCTTTCAGTTTCTAACTTGATTTCATTTTCTTGTCTCTTGGAGAGATGTTTTAATTTTGATGAACTCTCCCCAAACCTGCTTAGGGTCTCATTAAATTACGGAGGCTGGCCTTGAACTTATTTCCTGCTGCCTCAGCTTCCTGAGTAGTTGAGATTATAGGCTTATGCCACCATGCTTGGCTGGTGGAATCCATTTTAGCAATTTTTTCTTTTTCCTTATATGATTTATATGTTTTGTTTTCTAAGAAGTTGTTGCCTAACCTCCTAAGCTAAATCCCCGTGCCCCCCCACCCCTTTTTGGAGACAGGGTCTCACTATGAAGTTCAGGCTGACCTTGAGCTCACTATGTAGCCCAGGGTGGCCTCAAACTCACAGTGACCCTCCTGCCTTAGCCTCCTAAGCGCTGGGATTACAGGCATGAACCACGACACCTGGCTATTCTATGTTTTCTTTTAGATATTACAGAAATTTATCAATCTATGATTGATCTGCCGTTTATTTTTTATATAAATTGTGTGTCCAGATTGATTTTTGTATCTGAGTAAGGTGGCACACGCTTGTAATCTCAACACTTGAGAGGCTGCAGTAGGAGAATCGTGAGTTTGAAACAAGCCTGGGCTATATAGACTGTCTTAAAAAAAAAAAAGGCGCCAGGGATTTAGCTCAGTGGTTCTGGTGCCTGCCTTGCAAGCGCAAGGTCCCAAGTTCAATCCCCGGTACCAAAAAAAAAAAAAGGCCAGAGGTGTTGGCGAATGCCTATAATCCCAGCATTTGGAGGCTGAGGCAGGAGGATCACTTTGAAATGGAGTCCAGCCTAGGCTCCATAATGAGTTTAAGGCCAGTCTGAACTGCATAGCTAGACCCTGTCTCAAAAAACACGCACAAACAAAAATGATTATTTTAATTACTTTGGGAAGAATCAACATTTTAAGTCATCTAATCTGTTATTTCCATATCTTCATTTATTTGTCTTTGATTTCTTTTTTTTTTTTTTTTTGGTACTGGGGATTGAACTTGGGACCTTGCGTTTGCGAGGCAGGCGCCGGAACTACTGAGCTAAATCCCCAGTCCTCTTTGATTTCTTTTATTAGCATTTTGTTAAATTTATTCCTATTGCTTTCTTTGGTACTGCTGTAAATAGTGCTTTTTAAATTTCAATTTCCCTTTGTGTATTACATTGTACAGAAATCCAATTGACTCTGTTACCTGTATATCCTGCAGCCTTGTTAAATTCACTTAGCATGTCTAGTAGCTTTCCTGCTGGCTCTGTGGCATCTGCTGTGTAGACAATTTCATCATCCGTGAAAGGGACAGTTGCGCACACACACACACCCCCATCTGTGTGCTTGTCGCTTGCTGGCACCCAGGCAGTGTGGGCAGGTGTACAGCACAGTTCCTGGCCTGCCCTGACCTGTAGGAAGCGCCTCTCCCCCACACGCGGTGGTGGTAGCTGTGGTCTTCATCATCAGGGCGAGATGCCCATCCAGGCCTGATTCCTGAGTTTAATCTTCAGTGCTGTTGGGTACAGTTTGAGGAATGGATGATTCGAAAGGAGGAGGCTGGGTTTTAACCTCCCAGTGGAGCATCCTGTTGTGCCTGAGCTTTTGCTCTAGGGAGCTTAGAGAGCTTCTCTGTTGTGTTTGCAGTTTGGGCCCTTCTGTCCCATGGCAGCCACCTGGTCACTAGTTGGCTGGTGGAGTCCCCAGTGAGCAAGGAAGCCCACATGGACTGCAGTGAGTGTGTGTTGAGACCGAGGCCCCAGTGACTGTGACTGCTCTTTGTCCTGGGCCAAGAGGGTTACACCATGGCCTCAGCCACACCGAGGACGGGCAGAAGCTGGACCAGTGTCCACAGGGCCACCCCCAGCACCTGCCCCAGTGCCAGTTAGCTCCTGGTCTTCAGTTCTCCTTGGAAGCACACAGCAGCCACACAAGAATGTGACTTCCCCTCAGTTCCCAGTCCACACGAGTACCAGGAATCTGTTTCCTGGGAAAGGGATCCACCTTGAGACACCTGTCTAACTCCCTCAGGGCCTAGGCCCTGTCCTGGCACCCAGCTGTGCCCCCAGATGTCTGGCCACTTTATCCCCTTATGTCAACACGTGTCGTGTTCCCAGCCTGTTGGGAGGCATTGCTGTTGAAGAATGTGCTCAGAAGGAGGCGGTGACCTCACCCCTTCCTCAGGCCTGCAGTTCTCCCTGCAGCCCAGGAGCTGGCCATACCCTCTGTGGATGCTGAGCATCTCCCATCTGCCCAGCCCAGCACCCTGGGCCCACGCCCTCTGACTGGAGTGCTCTCTCCTGCCCACCTCTTACCCCCGGGCCTCACTCCAAGTAGGGCACCCCCTCTGCTCCCAGAGTGCCTGTCTCACCCTTCTGTTTTGGAATGGTGCCTCTTTCCCTCCTGTTTTGGAATGGTGTCTGTCCCCAAGGGGCCTTAGGTCTGTGCATCTGGTAATCACTTAGCACTGAGCGAGGGAAGGATGGGGTGCTCACCAAAGCCCATACTGGCCCCCACCCCTCCGCAGGCTGAGCTGATGAGCAGCCTCATTGAGTACTGCATCGAGCTGAACCAAGCTGCGGAACCCATGGCCCCCCGGCAGAGTACGTCTGGGCCCCACTCAACTCCCGACCCTTCGTCGCCTCCCACTCAGCGCCCCAAGCTGCGGAGGCAGAGCAGTGTAGTGTGCAGCCGGATCCAGCACCTCTCCACCATTGACTATGTGGAAGATGGTGAGCCACGGTCACATGTATATTGCACACATACACATGCGCACATGCATACCACATGAGGGCCAGAGGGTGGACTTGGCAGTGATTGCAGACATAGGGTGGTTAGCCTGCTCTTTCAGGGCACTGGCTGAGAGAACAGAGTCCTTTTTGTCCCTTTCACTGGTTCATCAACAATGTGTTCATCATAGCATCATCCAGAACGTGAAAAACAGGAGCCACCCACTCCCTTTTATTAAAGCTGTGGGTATATATACCTAAAATTATTCCAAAACAGAAAGGGTTTCTTCAGTGCAATAGCAAAGATACACATTTACTTTATTTTATTGTGATGCTGAGGGTTGAACATGTGTGCTAGGCAAGTGCCATACCACAGAGGTACACCCCAGCCCCCAAACCTACATTTAAATGCCAAGATGTTCACAAAATAATACTGAATAGAAAAGCTCCGGTAACAGGACAGCATGTATTTAAAAAAAAATACTGGGCTGGGGATTTAGCTCAGTGGTTCCGGTGCCTGCCTCACAAGCGCAAGGACCTGAGTTCGATCCCCAGTACCAAAATAATAATAATAATAATAAAATAAATAAATAAATAAAAATACTGAGTTGTGGGTTTGGAGGAGGCAGACCAGAAAGGCAAAGTACTGCTTTCATCACTCCAGATCACAGGTGCCATCAGCATGGGCTGTGACTATAGTTACTAACTGTGACCACATGGCTTTATTTATTTATTGAGCAGTGCTTGGGAATGGACCCAGGGTCTTTGCACCATGCTATATCCCAGCCCTTTTTGTATTCTGAGGCAGGTTAAATTGCCAAGCAGGGCTTGATCTTGCAATCCTTGTTCCTCAACCTCCCAGAGTACTGGTATTATAGGTGTGTACCACCACGCCCAGCAGGCTTGATACTTTTAATTTGGGAGAATTCTCTGTACCTGGCTGAGGCTCCCTTTAGTGAGCTGTGTATGTTGCAGGTATTTGGTTTCTTTGGTCAGTTGCACAAGGCTTAGTGAAAGTCCCTCAGACCACTGGCCCAGCACCAGAACATAAGCCTCCCTGGATCTGGGAGCCCAGCCACCTGCCAAGAGCAGCTTGGTCCAGACCGGCCCCGGAGGAGCTGTCCCAGTGCAGTGACAGCCCAGCCAACACCACGACACCTCTTCTCAAAGTCTCCTCTCCTTCCCTCACAGGCAAGGGGATCAAGCGGGTGAAGCCGAAGCGTTCTATGTCCTTCTTCAGCCGGCAGCTCTCCACAGGCCAGCGGGGCTACACTGTGGTGCAGCCTGCTGACAGCCTGGAGCAGGGCTGAGGACGGCTGCACCAGGCAGGAGGAGGGCACTGGGGACCCAGCCTCTGGACCTGCCCTGGCACTGTCCTCCCAGGCAGGGGCCAGGCACATCAGTCCAAAGCCTGTGTACATGGCAGCAAGCGGCTTCAATCCCTTGGGGTCTGTGGGTGTTTCAGACCACAGAGAAAGGACTGCTGCTGCGGGGGTGATACCTGCACTACGTGGAACTGGCCAGGGCCTCCACAGGGTCTCTCTTGCAGTCTGCCCTCCTACCTGTGGACACATCTTCATGCCCATCGCAAGGAGCACAGTGTTCTCTACCCTGCAGGGACTGCAGGCAGCCCCGATGGCAGATGGCTGAGGTCAGGGCCTGGGGCCTGCAGGTTCAGTGTTATTCCTTGGACCTCAGTCACCACATCTCACATTCCTTCTGCTGGCATTCCACTCATTCTACAAGGATGGGCTGGCACTTGGAGATGAGTGCTCCCTGAATTGAGCCCTCTGAAACAGGTGAGGCCCCCATACCATCCCTGAACTGGGACCAGAGGGAGCTGGGTAGAGTCCCCCCTTGCTCACATCTCACCAACGGGCACAAGACACTAAACGGAAAGAAGGTGCCTTTATGTAGCTTTTGGTGATGTCACTATGATGGCTGTCCTGTGGACCAGCAGGCCCACCAGACTGGTGCTACTGGGAAAAGCTGCTGAAAAGCCCCTTGTCACCCGCTGGCCCAGACAATTCCCTCCGTGGATCCACCAGATCTGCCCTTCCATGTCTGGGTCTCCCAGATTTGCATTTGGTCTCTTATCTGCTTTTGTTTGGTGAAGCCAGTGAACTCTTGTTAACCTCAGAGCTGTGGGTTCTCCAGCAAAGGTGTGGGGTCCCCTGAGGACCAGTCTTAGCCACACAAGATGTTTCTCCTCTCAAGGACTTTGGAAAGGAGGCCTGAATGTGGGTGCTTGGCTTTTCTTCCCCATCCCCCCTTTTTGGGGGAGGGTTCTGGGGGTGGAACCTAGGGTTGCACACATGTTGGGCCAGCGAGCTGTACCCCAAGACCCCACCCAGCTTTGGCCCCCTGACAGCAGTGGCTCTGTCTTTTTAGAGGAGCTGGGCCTCAAGATGGGTCCTTTCCTGGCCCTGGGCTGCTTTGTGGGGACACAGGCTTTGCTGTTGTCCCTTGATGGTAACTATGGAAATAGGAACATCTCTTGCTCCAAATCTGACGGCCATTTGTCTGCCCAAGGTAACTTGAGAGCTCCAGATGTTTGGAGGTGGCTTGCCTTCTACCATCAGGGACTTTATTTATCATAATAAATAAGGAAGGAAGAGACCTGGGAGGTGCCTCCAGCATTTTGGAATGTTTAGGCTGCATTGTGACATCAGCTGCCACCTCTTGTCTCCCCTGCTGGCTTGGTATATGACCTCACTGAGCTGCCAGCCTGCTGTCCTCCAGCCCTCTAGTCACCTGGGCCTCCTCACTGTTGGCTCCAGCACATTCTTACCTGATGGGCTCACGGGCAGCTGGGGTGTGGTCGGGTGTGTGCACAGATTGCGTGTTTTCACTGTTGAGCTCCCTCTCATGTTTTCTAAGTATCCATTGTACCTTATGCTTCTCTGCCTGCCCTTTGGGACAAAGCAGTATTCTACTAAAATCTCTTTGAATGTCCTCATTCTTTTGTATCATGGAATTTGTTAATAGTAAAATCAGTTTCTAGCAAGCCTCAGGTAGTTTCTGATAGGAAATACTGAGGGTGTGTTCATGACAGCTGAGGACTGGGTTACAGGCCGCCTGTGTGGCTGTTACCAGGTCTTTGTCCAGCCACACCAGGCCCCCATAAAGTGCTCTAGTCCTGGTGCTTTGCCAGGAACTTCGGGAAAGGGTGGCCTAGGAGGGCCAGAGGCAGTGCTGAGATAGTCCTGCCCTCCCTGGGCCAGGCCCAGGGCACTTGTTGCCCACAGATGCTGATGACAGCACCCAGTTTGGAGGGCAGAGACAACACCAGATCTACCCTGGACCACAGCGGGGCAGCAGTGACACAGGCTTTGGCCCTCTTGCACAAGCACCAAAAGTTGGGGGTTGGAGGTCATAAGAGATGTTTCTGGGGATGGAGGCAGCTAGCCACATGTCCCTGTGGCAGTCTGGCCCCAGGACCAGGGCGTCTGTGACAGGGTTGGTACCTGGTGGTCTGCCTGGCTGGGCAGCACAGTGCCATGACCACAGACACATACATGAGGCAGACATGAGTCTCATTTCTTGGCCTTTCAGATGGGAATAATAGTAGTGCTACCTTTTTTTTTGAGACCATGTCTCGCTATGTAATTCAGTCTGGACTTAAACTCACTATGTAGCCAGGTTGGCCTCAAAACTCAGCAATCCTCCTGTCTCGGCCTCCCAGGTGCTGGGGGTACAGGCATGCACCAGCACACCTGGCTATGACAGTGCCACCTTGAAGGGCTGTCGGGTACTTTGGCATGGGGCAGACTGGGCATTCAGCAGGTGTTCTGTGTCTGGGAAGCAAGGAGGGAAGACAGCCACATGAGCAACCTGCCTGGGGTGGTTGACGGCATAGCCTATCACCCTTTCCCCTCCCCAGGCCCACTCACTCTGCCTGCCCATCAGGCTCAGTGCCTGTTGCTGCCATACAAACCCACAACCAAAGAGTAATGAGCACGCACTGTCTCTGTTCTGCAGGTTAGAAGTCTAACATGGTATCAGTGGGCTAAAACCAAGATACAGGCTAGGCTGACTGACCCCTGCCTGAGGCCCCAGGGACAATCAGGGAACTTTTCTAGCTTTGGAGGCCACTGCATTTCTCGGTTCCTGGCTTCCTCTTCATCCTCAAAGCTATGGATGGCAAGTGGCGTCCCCTCTGACCTTGCATCCTTATATCTCTTTCTCCACCTCTTCTGTCTCTGCCATTTGTAAGGAGCCTGTGATGACATTGGGCTGACTTGGATAGTCCAAGACAGTCTCCCTGTGAAAAGTCAGTTGATAGCCAATTGTGGTGGCATACACCTGTAATTCCAGCACTGTGGGATGCTGAGGCAGAAGGATAGCAAGTTCAAGCCCAGCCTGGCCAACTTAGTGACTTAGCAAGACTCTGTCTCAAAATTTTTTAAAAAGGGCTGGGGATGTAGCTCAGTGCAAAGACCCTGGGTTTAAAAAAAAAGGCTTTTATTCTTTGCCGTGTAACCTGACAGATTCATGGGCTCCAGGGTTAAGGCCCTGGTTTCTTCATCTCTGTGAGGTGACACCAGTCCCAAGTTGAGGCGCCAAGCAGATGGTCGACAACATCTGCCTGGTTGGAGAAGGCAGCAACATAAACTCCAGCCCCCACTCTCAAACACCCACCTGTCCAGAGGCAAAGATACCTAGAATAGCAAAGGTCACACTTCAGGCCCTCCACCCCTTTCCCAGGAACCCCAAAATACCTTTGTGAATTCAGTAAAAGTAAGATTTTAGGGCCGGGGATTTAGCTTAGTGGTTCTGCCGCCTGTCTCGCAAGCTCAAGGACCCAAGTTCGATCCCTGATACCACACACACAAAAAAAAGATTTTAAAAATTATTTTCTCAAAGAAGCCCCTGACATGCTGTTTCAGTCCCACAAGTCCTGGATTGGCCACTGTCCAGCAGCCATGCTGGCTCCAGCCATTTCTTGGACACGGCGGCCATCTCAAGCCCCCAGGTCTTTGCCCAGCAGGCTCCTCTTCCTTTTGAAAGTCCAGCTGTTCACCTCCTCCAGCCTTGGCTCCCAGCACACCCCACAGCAGCCCCTTTCCCCCTATACCTGGACCACTTATCAGGCTGGACCTGTATCCCCAGAACAAGGAACAGGCTTCTTTCCTTCCAGGGACAAAGCCCTGTTTGTTGTTTCATCTTCTCTCCCTGTGCTGTGTGGCCTTAGGCAAGTGACATCACCTTTCTGGGTCTCCACATCCTCATCTCTAAAATGGGGATGGCGATTATACCTACAATGGGTTATGGGGAGGCATATGAGGCCTGTCGCCCCCAACTGGCAGTAAACGCTCAGGAGGATTGGTTGTCCCCCTCCTCAAGAGCACAGTTTTGTGCACATCTGAAATGAGAGGTGGAGGAGGTGGTCAGTGCCTCATGAGACCAGAAGTCAGCTCTCTGAGCCCCAGCTTCATTATCTTCATAGTGGGAGCAGTCACCGCTGCTTCACAGGGTTGTGGGTGACACTGTGACAGATACACCTATGATGGCTGCATCATATGATGGCCTGGCACCATCATGCCAGGTGTTCAGCAGTAATTCACTAGATGACTTCAAAGCTCCCTAGAACCCTATTCCTTCTCACAATTGCATTCGATAAATACTGGATGTGCTTGTCGGCCTTTGTCTTTGCTGCCATCAGCCGCACTGACCAGGACCCAAGACTCAGCTTCTCCACTCTTAAGTCATTTTTGTCTGTTCTTGAATTCGCCTTATGCTGTGGTGGCTCACAGACCAGGACCCAAGGCAGAGGTCCTGATAAAGTCCCCTTCCCCTCTCCCTACATAAGATCTTATCACTATATTGTCCAGACTGGCCTCAAACCATCTTCCTTCCTCAGCCTCCTGTGCCTGGCTTGGCTGTCTTATAAAGAACCAGGCATATTAGATTAAGGGCCACCCTGCTGCGTTATAACCTCACTGTAATTATGCCTGTCATGACCCTATTCTCACATGAGGTCTCATTCTGAGAGACTGAAGGTTTGGACTTCAGCATATCTTTTTGAAGGAGACAATTCAACCCATCCCATCCTAAGGCTTATTGTCTTGGCTACCTTTGAGGCTTTTTACTGTACCAAAGGCTGTTAAAAATACCTGCTGAGTCAGGCATGGTGGCACATGCCTGTTAATCCCAGCACTTGGGAAGCTGAGGCAGGAGGATCATGAGTTTGAGATCAGCCTGGGCTACATACCAAGACCCTTTCTCAAACAATACAAAACAAGTCAGCTACCCCAAGTTGCATAGAAAGTAGGGAAGACTTACCTGCCAGCCTGGCACACACAGCCCGGTGGCCAGCACCTGGATCCAGAAGCCCCTAGGCCAGAGGAGGTCCCACAAGCCAAGACTTCGCTCAGCAGGTCACTGTAAGGGACAAGCTCTTCACGGTTCCCACATACTTCACACTTCACAACTCCCACTACAGGAGACTGGGACAGTCAGGCAGGCAGTCCTATTGTCCCTCCTGAGGCCAGCACTTCGGGATCATCCTCCAGCCCTGACAGCAGCACCTGGAAAATCCATGGGCCTCCCTGCCCGTGGGCTGGCTAGAGAGGCTCCTATCAAACTGCAGCACTGCAAGTGGCTGGCTCAGGCCCACTGGGCAGCCTTGTGCCACCCCCCCTCCAAGTGGTGTGCTGGCACAGGGACCCTGTTGGACTCACAAAGATTACAGCAGGGTAGCCCAAGAAGCTGTCACACACTCTGAAAAGACAAAGGCTCAAGGGCCACAGATAAAGCAGGGGAAGGAGAGGGCAGAGATGAACATGCCAGGGCCCTGGGACACCACATAGGGTTGTAGGACTGGTGACTAGGGATCTGGGCACAAATGAGCAGCAGAACCAGCCACTTTGCAGGCTGGGGATTTAGCTCAGTGGCACTGCACCTGCCTTGAAAGCACAAGGTCCTGAGTTCCATCCCAGGTACCACCAAAAACAAACAAAAAAAGAACCAGCCACTTTGCACACCCATAATGCCCCTGATAGATAAGCTGGTCACACCCATCACAGGACAAAGAACAGAAAACAAGCTTGATCTGTGATCAAAGGTGACATCCTGAAGGAGGGTCCTGCCAGGCTCAGCAGGAGAAAGGCCTGAGGACAGCCTGGCTGTGACCTTGAGCCTGATGGACATAGAGTGTCATGGCCAAAGGGAGATGCCAACCTTGGGACAGTCTCACTGCTCACCCTTCTCCCTGGCCTGGAGGACCTTTACAGCCACCTAGCACTTCCTCCCTGCATCTACCCCACATTTCACAGAAGGCAAGCTGGTTACCCAACTTTGCTCAGAATGGGACTGCAGGGCCAGGCTGGATCTCAAGATTTCAGTTTCAAATACCAAGTTCAGAACCAGGTGATGATCAACCACGGATGTGGCCAATGTGGCAGAGTCCTTTGTGGCCATTAGCAGCCTGCAGGTGCTGATCCAGCTCCAACCAGCAGGGGGCAGCTGAGTCCACCCTTTCCAGGTGCTCTACTGTGTAGGTCAGCGCCAGCACTTCCTTCCCTGCCCAGTCCATACAGCCTGGAACATGGTCATGCCCAAAGTCAGAATCTGGGAGATATGGGGTCTGGCACTGCACGCCTATCCCGATTCAGAGCAAGACCCCTGACTCCAGCCTCTGGTGCTAGGGGATCCCAGACCGCCAAAGCACCTGACATGGAGATTCCCTGGGGTTCCCCAGCTTGGTCATGGAACTTGAGCTTTCCAAAGGTCAAGATCTGGAAACAGATTCTGCTGTGAAATTTATAAGTTTTTCTGTGAAATGACAACTTAGTCAAAATATTTAAAGCCAGAGCTATTTGGGAAAATTGGGAGGAGGTACGATGGGCTCCACCCAGGAGCAGAAATCCCAGGCCTCTACCCAAGCAGCCCCTTCTTCCTCAGCAGCTATCCCAGGCCCCTCTCTTAGTGCCTCAATTTCAGGCCCTTGAGCATGCT